GTCATACAATTTTCAATCAATTAGATTCGAGCGGGAAAGCATTTGTTCTTCCAATCTTGGCCACACATTCCATCTTCTTCTAACTCTCTTCAGTCCTCCCGATGTGAAAAACACTGTGTAAATATAATTTTCACTTTATTGCATTGTGCGCGCGCTTGTGTGTATGTATCAAATATTCTCTTAACCTTAGCTGCACTTTAAGGATGATCACAAATCAATATGGCAACTGCTCTGGCCACTAGTGCTGGGCAGACATTAAATGTGCACAGAGACAGACTTAGTTTGCGAATCTGGTGACCTGAAAAATATGGAATGCTTGACCAGGATCACTGGTTAGAGAAATATTGGAAATGGAGTAAAATAAAAGGGAGAGTTGTGAGTAGGAAAGAGCAGGCAAGAGGACTGGAAGTACAGTTCTTTCAGAGACACAGCAAAGGTCAAGTGGTCTTCTGTGGTACAGTCTGGGATTAAACAAATGACTTGAAATCGGGAGGAAATATGAAGGTTTTTAAAAAATATGTTAAACAATGAGGTAAGGAAAATGAATGGAAGAGGAATGAGGAATAGGTTAGGGGTTAGATGTTTAAGGAAAGGATTTGTTCGCCCTGTAGCAAGTTCTCCCCGTAGAGAGGGAAAGTAGCATGAAGATTCCAGCTTGTTCTGTAACAAGCTAGTCAGATGATTGCAAAGATTGATGAGAAACCTAAACTAAGTGGAGGTTTAATCCGAAATTAAGATGGAAAATGGCAGACTAATTAGATGCAGGCCAATTACATTACTTAAAAACTTCAATTAGTCCATGAAGACTCCAGGTCTGTTTGCGCAAACATGTAATTATTTTTTTAAGGCTATTTCAAGAAGACTGCAAGGACTTCACTTTGCTTGTAATTCCACTTTGCAAGGCTCATCGTCCAAATATAGTGCCCATCTGTTCTATGGCTATTGTGTGAAGGAAAAGGTCCGCTTTGGGGGAGTAGGTTTGGAGGATTATTCCATGTACAACTGGTTGTGTGGGACTTGCCAAAAGGAAGAGTAATTTGTTTTATCTAGCGTTTAGGGTTCCAAACATTGGTGGCCGTGCTTTCAGCCACTACGCCCCGAAACTCTGAAACACTCTCATTCTATCCCTCCGCCTTGTTCCTTTCTTCCCCATCTGCAGGTCCCGCCTGAAGACCTTCCTATTCAGTCATGCCTACGGTCACTGCCCCCTCCCCCTGGCTAGGGGACGTGCTCCATTATCAAGCGCTCTGAGACGCCACCCTGTGTGAGGGGCACTGTGTAAATGCAAGTTATTGTTTGATGAAACGTTAAACCAAGATCCCGGTGACCTGACTATCAATCCTCCAGATAAATTAGGTCACTCACTTCATGGCTCTTTGTGGGACACTACTGTGCACAAAATTCATTGCAGCTTTGGCCCACAACATACACAGTTGCTCTATTTTACAGTAAATTCTGTGAAGCGCTTTGAGACATTTTGATGATGTGATAAGGAGTCATATCAAATGTAGGAATTATTATAAAATATTCAACCATGTTGCTCTGGCAAAAGTAACTTTTACTTCACAGGCGCAGAAGGAAGACAGATAGATATAAAGAGAGAAAATAAAGGATAAAAATATCTAGTCCCGTGGTGGCCAGTTTGTGGCTTGCGGGCCGGAAGTGGCCTATTGGGCCGTTAAGAAATGCCCCAAACATTTACACTAGACTAGGTAAGTCCGTGTTCAATCAATGTGTTTTCAGGTTTTTATTGATTGAATATTTCTTGATTAATACCATAAAGCTCGCAGTAAGTAGGACCCCAGTTGTTAGTTGATTGGCAGATCGCTTTTCTGAGGGTAATAATTCCATCAAAATAAATAGAAAATAATTTGGTTACTCAATCCACGACCGTTTGTGGAGCACTGTTGTCCGCAATTGGCTGCATGTTCTCTCACTTTGCCCTGTTTAGGAGCAGGCTAGCGACTGCAGATATCCAGTCGCTCACGAATAGTGAGTTGTTTGCTCCATCAGCGCAATGTGTTGTTTAGCAATTCTTCATTTAGATTTGCTGGAACCAGTCTGTCTATCTGTGTTTGGACTTCATTAGCATTGCATCCAGCAGTGCGCAATGAGGAAATTAAAATGAGCAGCAAAAGTGAAGAGCGATTGATGGATTCATTTGTTACTCTTGAGTCAACAGTTTTATCACGTTGTAATATTCGACAGCCAATGTGGCCACAATACAAATTGGTTAGTTCTGTATGAACATTCATTTACAAATCCAATATCCACCTCTGGGACACGTTAATTTGCTTTATCTAATACCCGGGACGCAAAATAGATGTGTACAGCGTATTATAGCTCCCCTGAAAGTTGCTTTGTATACAACCTTAAAGCAGCTTAGTGCAATGAATAATTATAGCTGACTATACATCAAACTGACTATCAAACAATTGTAGGAGGCTTGTCATGTCGATCTATGTTGCTTGGCACTGTTGGTAGCGCTCTCGCCTCTGGGACAGCTTTTGTGTTCTAACCTCCCAGCGACTACAGCTTGCTTTACAATACAGTGGAGCGCTGTATTGACGGACATGTCGTCCTTTGGATGTTAAACTGAGGGCCCATCTGCCTGCTCAGCTGTATATTGAAGATCCTGTGACATCTAGTTGAAAAGAAGAAGAGACGTTCTCCCGATGTCCTGGCCAACAATCCCTCAGACAAACTGATGAATTTGGTCATCTATCTGTGTGCAAATTGGCCTCCACGATTGCCTGCACAACACTGACACTGCATTTGATAGCAATTAGCTGCGAAGTGCTTTGAGATGTTTCAGTGTCATTTCAGCATTGGATCAAACACAAATATTGTTAGTTATTTTCTCAGATTGGGTTTCAACAGCACCAAAGATATCACAAGGAGATTTCTACAGAGTTGTGTTGCAACTCCCTCCGCTCTACTTAACTCGGGCTTGTTACAAATCCTGCAAGCCTCTCTGCCCCACATCAATAAGCAAGCCTGAGGCCACTTTAGGCCCACTGTTTGGAATTCTCTCCCTGAATCCCTTTGCCTCTCTTCCTCCACCTCCGCTTTCAAAGCCCGTCTTAAAAATCTCTTTTTGTCTCTGCTTTAGCCCACCTCCACCATGCATCCCAACATGGGTTTCCATTCAGTCTCTCTGTAACACTTTGAGACATTCTCTCACATGAGAAGTTGTTGCTGTCTCCATCAACAACATGGGTGTAATGGCTCATTCAGGTGATTCTATCTAATGCAACACAAGACAATATAATTTACACTTTAAGTGCCTTGCACCTCAGGAGGAGATTCCTTCCCAATATATTGCTCAGTTCATAGAGCTTGCATATTCAACATAATTTGGTTTATAGATATATACCAAGCATTGTTAAGTCCCTAAGCATTTTATTTCAATAATAACCTTGGACCTTAGCACATTGTTAAAATGTCTAAATGCGCATCATCAAGATTTACTGTAGAGTGTAGTGACTATGCACTTTTGGGCAATTTGCACATGGCAATGCCCTGCAATCAACTGCAAGTAACTATCACATCACGATACTTTTCTTTGTAATAGTTAGTTCGGTCCAACAGTCTCCCACTGATTCACACAACTTACAGTGCTTTGATATCCCACAGTCTGGGCTGTGTTCAGCCTATAAGTCTTGCGTGTTTAATGCAATGCTCACTCTGCACTCATAAGTAGCTGGCTGCAAATGTCCAGGGGCATTTAACCGAAAATGGCCTATTTATGCTCAAAAGTGGCTCTGGAAGCAACGGCAGATGTTTAAGAACACTTACTTTGTTCGCGGTTCTGTAAGATTCCCCCAGGCAAGCGTCCCGAGATGTTAATGTGCATCTGTTACAATTTTTTGAGCGCTCCGCTGGGTTAGCATGCATGAAAAATGAATCTAATAAAAAAAAACTGCTTCATTCAGACAATGCTGTTTATTCACGAAGCAATTGTAAAACTAGTGCAGGTGCAGAGGGCAGAGAAACCCTTTGTCAATGCCCAATTAGAGAGGAAGCAGATTTCGGTTTCATAGTTTACACCAATTTGCGAAAACACAGTTGGGGTAATCAGCCTGCGAGAGCACGGAGGTGTTTTTGGCAGCAAGAGCGTAAGAACGGCACATGATTGCTGGTGATTTGCAAGAACAGCGCTGCTGTATTGTAATTTACTGCTGGCATGAATGCTAAACCATCTGATGGTAGCTTAGATGAAATTCGGGTTGCATACCCAAATGAACAAGACAAAATGAACCATTTGACCCTTAGGTTTGGATTTCGTTGGCAGCAAATTCTCCAACGTGGTGTGAAAACTGAAACTTGCCAGGAAGACTGCGCAATGATAATAATAATAATTAATCCTTGCATTTGATATAGCGCCTCATCACATCTTCTAGCCGTCTCAAAGCGCTTCACAGAATATACTGTAAAGTGAATTGACTGTATATTTTGTGGGCAAAATGCAGCAGCCAATTGCGCACAGCAGCCTCCCACAAAAAATCGTGTATTTTTTTTTGAAGGAATTATTATCTCCGGAAAAACAATCTGCCAATTGACTAACCACCAGGTTCCTACTTACTGCTAGGTAACCAGAGGCGCCTGGAGTAAGAAAACTTGCCCAACATTTCGCCCTGCTGGGAATCGAACCCAGGTCTCTCGCTTGCGAGGCGAGTGCTCCAACCATTGAACGGCAGGACTCCATCACGTATTTGAGGCGTCTCAAAGCACTTCACAGTAAAGTGGATTGATTATGTATTTTGTGGGTGATACACTGCTTCCAATTGCGCACAGCAGTGTCCCACAAACAGTCAACTTGTGCAGGGATCAACTTGGCTTTGGCTAAGTTGGATGCATTTCTAGCTTCTGTGTTGGGGAGTGCTGCATTGTCGAAGGTGCCATCCTTTGATTAAGACATGTTGGCATGTTGATCTTGCATTATTGTGGTCTGTATTTCAGTCTTTTCTCAATTTTCCATTTGTGTGTTCTATATACAGGAGTGAACTCAGATTTCTGTGTTTTCCTGAATGAAACAAAAATTGGAAGGATTTCCAACTCTGACCTTGATGAGGAAGGTTTGGGTAAGCAATCACAACTTGCATTTACATTATTTATACTGTTTATATATGGCATTGGGCTTATTAATACTTTTAGACACCTTAAGAAAGCAGAACAACAGAGCATAGGTTCACGGTTGTCAGAGGCAAGTGTAGCGCAGACTTTACAAGGGAAACAATCAATAACAGGAACATGTTATACAGAATGGTAGGAACATCTTGCTCTGAGAGCTGGAGCAACCTCAATGGACCAAATGGCCTCCTTCATTGCTGTAAATTTCCATGATTCTTATGACCTCTTGGAAGCACCTTTATATTCATTATGTTCCAATGGATCAGATGCAGAATGCTTTTTTTTGTGCAAACAAAATAGATGTAATTAACGCAGAAAAAACTCTCTTGACAACAGTAACAAAATTATATTGGGCCCCTGGTGAATGTAAGAGATTTTATTGCGCCCATTAACTAGTCTTGGCTCCGAAATAGATGTGGTCCGACTATTGAGGGATGGATGGCAGCAATAAAGGAATATGGTTTGCTGAAGGCAGCAGATGCTCGGGACAGTAAATTGCAGGAGGCAGCTCACGGTAAACTTATTGGGAGCTTATTTCAAGTCACCGTTTCTGCAGCAGGAGGACTCTTAAAATTAAAATTAATTCCAAAACCAGACGGAGCAGAGAGGAGCCCTGGTGGATGTTAGCAAAAAAACAGCAACTCTGAGCCAACATGTGTAAGACTGTCTAATTGGAGACAAATGTTCCAATTACATCTCAGCTGGATAACTGTGACCAAAGAGGTTGGGGTCCACACTCCAATGTACTGAATGGTTTGTGTATGCACACACACGTTGCGGCCCCGAGTTTTAAGCTGAGCCCAGAGACAGAACAACTGATTTAAAGGCTGTAATAAGACAGAAATTGCCTTTTCCTGGCATTTGGTACAGCGCCTTAGCACATCAAAACACCTCTCGGGTTTTACGGTGAATTGTAGTGTAAGCAAACATGGCAGTGAGTGACCATTTTTTTTTATTTGGGGGTTTCTTGGCCAGGACAGCGGGAGAAACTCCCTTCCATGTTCCGCCCCTCCAAGATCTGCCGACAAGCCAGACTGGGCTGTGCTCTCATCAGCAGTGCCCTGGAGTACTGTGGACCCGCGTGGCTCAGGAACCGGACTGCCAAGCCCACTGCAGTGGGTGCGCTTGACTCCGACATTCCGTGAGCAAACAAATCACTTTGGAGCCAGTTCAGCTCAGGTCTCTGGAGACTCCACTTACCTCCTCCCTTCATCCCCCCCCACCACCTTAGGCGAAGAATAAAGGAGAATAAATGAACTTGTCCTTTCAAGTAGATTAGATTTATCAGCATCTTCTGTGAAAGCGATCCGGAACAGTCAGCATACATAAATGCTTAGGTCCGTTAGCTTTAAAAACTATTATGATTTTCCAGATCACTCCTCATCAATTTACATCATTGGAAGTGACGTTAATTCTTCCATTTGAAGAGCGACTTAGAGTTGAGAGCTGGATCTTTGTTTCTCTTTCCCAATCCATCTCCAAGGAGAGATGGTAAAATGGTAAAATAAGGTTATCTTGTGGGTCAGCTTGGCTCAGTGGTTACACTCTCACCTCCGATTCAGAAGGTTGCGGGTTGAAGCCCCACGTTGAAACTTTGAACCCATGGTTGATGCATTGTTGGAGGGATTGTCATGAGGTCCCATTCAGATTGACAATAAAGATCCCGTGGCGCTATATGAAAAATGAAGGGAGTTTGTCTCCCAGTGTCCTGGTCAACAATCATCCAGATAAAATTGGTCATTCACTTTATCGCCATCTTTGGGACGTTGCTGTGGGCAATTGTCTGTCGGATTTGCCTACAAAATGCACAGTCAGTGCATTTTATGGTAAATCCTGTGAAGCACTTTGAAGCATCCTTTTGCAATGACAGGACATGATGTGATATGAAATGTAAGGATTATTATTATTTTAAAATAATTACCCTACGATCAGCTCTTTATTACAACAACAACAACAAGATTTCATTTATAGAGCACCTTTCACGTCGGGAGGACGTCCCAAGGCGCTGGACAATTGGGTCAGGACTTATTAAACTTATAAATTGTTCCTTGAAACTTGAAGCACCTGAGAGATTGTATCTGAGCATTTGTACAGAGCACACTTTGGGTGAAGGATGCAGTAGATATTGCCTTGGCTGTATTCAATTGCAGTGGTGTGATTGAGCGTCCGTTGAAGCTAACACTATCCCGTAGCCTTGGCAGCTGCACTCCGGTGTGAATTGATTTGAGATTGAGCCTCTCCACATAGAACTCTGGCGATTCAGCAACTCTTAGATGTAAAGGTGAGCAGCTCACAGGTCAAGACAAACACAGTATCAAACGTGAGGAATGTTAAAACCATGTTGACCATTCTCTGAAGCCTTTCCACAACAACAACAATAATAATACTTGCATTTGCTGTAAGGTCTTATCACAAACAGTCGTAGATCGAGTGACCAAATGTTTTTTTGAAGAATTATTAAAAGATCTTTCTCTTTGACAGCACCTTAACTCACCTTCCTCTCATCTCCCCTCTTACCCACCCCCCATACCACCCCACCATCTCGCTTGGGTTCTCAATGCACCTCTGTAAAGTGCGTTGAGACGTTCTCCTTAAGTGAAAGATGCTGGGTATGATAACGTTGTTGTTGTGTTGTTGGTGATGGTAGACTTGATCATGATGAGAAGCAGTTCTGCAAGTCAATGAGGCATGACAAAGCAAGGCAGCTAATACAACGCAGCTCAACACCGGGTGAAAGGGAAAATCTGACGCTTCCTATGAGCTCAGAAAGATGATGTTTTCTGCCATTGGGTGATTTTTTTTTGCTTATTTTGATGCTCAGGCTTACAGGTTGAGTAATGTTATTACCCAGGACGTTGCTGGAGTCCTAAAAGTGAGACTTTACCCATTGAATCTCTACTTCCTGCTTTCTGCAGTGCAGCATTCTAGTGCAGTGCTGGGCGAATGCTGCATTGTTGGAGCTGCCGTCCTTTGGACGAGATGTCTTTGAACAGTCTGCCTGTTCAGCTTAAAGATCAATGGCATTGTTCGAAAAACAAAAGGGTAGATTTCTCTCTCCCAGTGTCCTGGCCAACAATCCCCCAGATTAAATTGATCATTCATTTCATTGGCTGTTTTGTGTGACATTGCTGTGCACAAAGTGGCTTCCAGATTTGCCTGCAAATACACTATATACTGTAATACCGTGAATCACTTTGCGATGTTTGGACAAAGCGATAAAAGGCTATATCGAATGCAAAGATTATTATTAATAAAACTGAAACCGCAGGTGGGCGAAGAAAGAAGAGAAACTGCAGTGATTTTCTGATGAGAAAACCTGTTTGGCCTTTTGCTTTCAGAACAATCCGACTGATCGCTGGCAACAGAACATAAAGAATATAATAATCCCTCACATTGTCAAGACATTGCTTCACGGGATCTACTGTCAAGTGCAAAGACTGTATATTTTGAAGGTGAACATAGCAACCAATTTCAGCACAGCAACATCCCACAAACAGCTGTGAGGTGAATGACCAATTTTATCTGGGGGATTGTTGGCCAGGACATTGATCAGCCCCAGAATTTAATCAACTTCAGACAGGAATCAACTGGCATAAACTAGCTTGGAGGTGATGAAGTATTACAGCAAAAAGCCGAGATTTGCAATGGAACGATTCCATTGACAAACGAACTGATTGCTCTTGTGCAACGGAAGATTTTAACACCTGTTCTGGTAGAGCGGATACACCTGTAATGAGAAGTGTTCTTGGGGGTGAATACAACACCAAGCGAGTTCCATTTCACTTGGGCTTGTAAACCAAAACCTTCAACCGGGAACATTGAGGCAGAAGGATGTTGATGGATGACTACTTAACCCAGATAGTTCCCACAACCATGTCTTAATGAATAGAGCTCCTCCGCAGGTCCTTGTTGTTAAATTTCTGTGAGACTGGGTAGATTTGGTTAACAAGCCTTGTGATTTGCTTTCCTAAGCATAAGTGGCAGAATTGTGTTTCCCATCTGTTTTACAGACTAACTCCAGGCTGTTTTGCCCTTTCAGTCTCTGTTGCCTATTTGATATGTCAGTGGAGAAGTGCTGTATATTAGCAAATCACCAGAGCAAACTCATAAACAAAGAGTGAAGAGAAAGTACCAATTTCCTCATATTATTTTCCTCTGTTTGTTATTACTTAATCCCATTGTCAAACTCCCATAATGTAGTGGTTAGCGAGAGGACTGGTTTTAATTTCTGGGCAGGGCTAAACCTTAGACAATTTTCCTTACTCCACATGCCCCCGATTAGCTAGCAGTAAATAAGAATCCAATTGTTAATCGATTGACGGATCATTTTCCGGGGGTAATAGTCCCCCCCCCCAAAAAATGTGATTGCTCAATCCATGATTGTTTGTGTGCAATTGGCTGCCGTGTTTTGCCCACAAAATATACAGACAATCCACTTTACAGTATATCCTGTGAAGTGCTTTGAGAGGTCTGAATGACATGAAAAGGCGCTATATCAAATGCAAGAATTATTATTATAATTGCTTGCATCTTTGCTTTTTCTCCTTTCTGAAAACTGCCATTTACAGAATTTGCTTTATCACAACACAGCAATGGGACATTCAGCCAATCAAAGCCATGCCAGAAGGATGGTTGAGGCCAGGACAGTGAGACTCATTTAATAATAATAATAGGTCTTGCATTAGATATAGTGCTTTTCATGTCTTCTAACAACAATACGATTGCATTTGTACAGTGCCTTTCATGTCTGCAAGACGTCTCAAAGCGCTTCACAGAGTATACTGTAAAGTGAATTGACTGTACATTTGTGGGCGAAACGCGGCAGCTAAATGCGAACAACAGTGTCCCACAAACAGTCGTGGATTGAGTGACCAATTTTTTTTTCTTGAGGGATTAATTTACAAAGCAGGATGCTTTATGCTTGATGCTGTGATGGAGGGACAAGAGTGGGGGCATTCAGGAGGGATGGAATTGAATGGGATCTTATGTTCACTATTTACAAGGTGTTCCCTTATTGCACCAACGATTCTAGGAACCATGTTTGTCTTGTACAGCCACATGCTTCCGCATTTAATTTGTAGCTCAACATAAGTACTTCCTGATCTTCTCTAGTTCCTTATTTTGACACTGTAGATACTTGGAATGGCCACATCAATACAATACAAATACAATAAAAAATGATATTTGTAAAACACCTTTCACGTGTTGGGAGGACGTCCAAGGCACCGAACAGTCAGGTATTAGGACCTGAGCGGGGAGAGGGAGGGGATTGTGATCAGGGAAGGTGGCCGAAGGCATAGTCGAAGAGGAGGGTCTTGAGGTATGCCTTGAAGGAGGCAAGGGAGGGAGTGAGGTGAAGGGGATATGGGATGAATGGGGGGGCACATGGAACAGGCCGGAGCTCAGACAGGTTGGCAGGTCAGAGAGGTAGAAGGGGGCAAGGCCATGGAGGACCTTGAAGGTGAGGACAAGAATTTTGAACTCAATCCTCTGAGGGATGGGGAGCCAACAGAACCGAGTGAGGGTAGGTGCGATGGGGTCATGGAGCCTGGTGAGGGAGAGGACATGAGCTGCAGAGTTATAATAATAATAATCCTTGCATTTGATATAACGCTTTTCACGTCTTCTAGACGTCCCAAAGCGCTTCACAGAATATACTGTAATGTGAATTGACTGTATATTTGTGGGAGAACGCGGCAGCCAATTGCGCACAGCAATGTCCCACAGACATCGTGGATTGAAAATGACCAATTTATTATTGTTTAGTTTTTTTGGAGGGATTATTATTAGGCGTGTGGAGTAAGGAAACTTTCCCAAGGTTTTGCACTAACCACTGAGCTACAGGACTCCACAGTTCTGGATGATCTGCAGTTTGTGGAGGGAAAGTTGGGAAGGCTGACAAGCAGGGCATTAGCATAGTCGAGCCTGGATGTAATGAAGGCATGTATGAGGATTTTCACGGCCTGAGGGGTGAGGCAGTGGCGGAGTTGGACAATGGCAGAGCGGGTCATTGCACGGATGTGGGGAAGAAAGGACAGTTGAGGATCAAACAAGACAGCTAGGTTCCTGACTGGCTTGGTGAGCTAGAGTGTGAATCCGTGGTAGCTGATGCTGCCAGTGCCTGAGATGTAGAGGTGCTGACCCGAGCCAACCAGGAGAGCCTCAGTCTTGCTGATGTTCAACTGTAGAAAGTTGGCTCTCATCCAGTACTTGATGTCTGACAGGTGTCATCCACGTACATGTGGAAGTTGACCCTATGTCTGCAGATGATGTCACTATGATGGAGCATGTATGGGTTGAAGAGGATAGGACCAACGACAGAGGCCGCACGAGACTTTGCGGGGCCTGGAAGAGAAACCGTTTGTATAGACAAAGTGGAGGCAGTGTGAGAGATAGGATCTGAACTTTTCAAGGACAGAACCTTGAAGGTTGAGGTGAGAGGAGAGACACTGGAGGAAGATAGATGGAGTCCTGTAGCTCAGTGGTTGGAGCACGAGCCTTAAAAGCGAGAGACCTGGGTTCGATTCCTGGCAGATTGAAACCTTGGGTAAGTTTCCTTACTCCACGCCTAATAATAATCCCTCAAGAAAAAAAAGCAATAACAATTTGGTCACTCAATCCACGACTGTTTGTGGGACGCTGCTGTGCGCAATTGGCTGCCGCGTTTCACCCACAAATATACAGTCAATTCACTTTACAGTATATTCTGTGAAGCGCTTTGAGACGTCTAGAAGACGTGAAAAGCGCTATATCAAATGCAAGAATTATTATTATAGAGTGGTCTTCAGTATCAAAGGTGAGAGGAGGACGAGGAGGCAGAGGGAGCCCTGGTCACAGAATGTCATTTGTCACCCAGGGCTGTGGGCAGCACGGATTGGAGGGATTCGTAAGGGGAGTGGCGGGAGAGGAAGGAATGAAGCTGGGAAGCAGCATCTCTTTCAAGAACCTTGGAAAGGAAAGGGAGGTTGGAGATGAAGCAGTAGTTAGTGAGCAGGGATGGTCCAGGCAAAGTTTTTTTTAGGATCGAGTTGATGACAGGTTTTTAGAGGGGTGGGAATGGTGCCAATGATCCTGCATGGAAAGTCTTGTTTTTATGATGCTATCTGGTTTGTTAGGGATTACTATTCTCTCTGAATATCCTTGTGAATCTCAGATTATTATGATGTTACCTTTTGATGTCAGTTTCACTGTTTGATGTTCATGCCAGTTGGTATTTAAATCAATATCAAAGTGCTTGCAAATTGTCTGTTGGATCTATTTATCGACGCGTTGTGTTGATTCAGGTAGGGTTAGACATGATGACAATATGTGATCGAGTGTTTCTGATGCTTAATGGCGTATCATTATCAGCTGTTATTCACACGTATGCGCTTGCCTTCATTAGCAAACCTTTTTTGCTCTGTTTAGCGTCTGATGTTCCAGATTAATTGTGCACGTGACATTTTTGTCTGCCATTAAAGCAGAGGCATTTATTCCAAATCCCTCCTGCCCCCACCTTCTGCCACCAGGTTGCATGTTCAATTTACTCCTGAGTCCCTTTTCCCTTTGATCCTCTGTGTAATCGAGAACCTCCCTGCATTTGATTCCATCAGTAATTTATGTTTCTAATTTACTTCTTCCCTCTTTTAATTTTAACTCTGACTGCTCTTAAATTGGTTCTAATCTTGTTCCTCGTTTCCTTCAAGACTTTGAGTCACCTCCATTTCCTACAGACTTCTCTCTCTTGCCCTTTCCAGCTTTGCGCTTATTTCTCTTATTTCCCTGTGGTTTACACTTGATTCAAAGTGATTCATTTTTACCTTAAATATTCAAATGTTAGTGTTAATGAGATGTTGCCTTTGTAATTCAATTCCCCGGCAATCTTTCCTGGCAGTGAAGTTGGCACTTTGAAGAGCAAGTATTTACTTTTTCCACTTCAATCACAAACAACTAATCTTTCTTCAGCCGTGTCCCGGTTTCAATTATTTAAGGTTTATTGCTTAAAAGCTACAACTAATGAAGCACTTTCCTTTGTTGCTTATTCAATGAGCATCACCCTCCTGCTAAGTACATTTATATGAATAATGGGCACCAATAGTAATAATAATTAATATTAATAATGTAGCAAAATATATTCACTGGGCAATGATAATAATAATCATCCTTGCGCCTTATCATGTCGACGAGACGTCTAAAAATGCTTCACAGTGGGAGAGAAATGGGTTGTTCAAGAAGTGACTATAATACTGTATCGAGCTTTGTCAAACGGTGACAATATGAATCTATTCAAAAGAGCCCAAAAGACCCATAATCTTTTCTGTGCTGCAGATTTCTATGGTTTTCTCTATTAAGAATGAGATCATAATAATAATCATTGCATTTGACATAGCGCCCTATCACTTCTAGACGTCTCAAAGCATTTCACAAAATATACCATAAACTGAATTGACTGTATA